GCTGGAGGCGGTTCGGATGCGTGTCGGATCAGGAGTGGACCGAGCCTCGGTCCAATTAGGAGCGCCTATGACGACTTCGGACCAATCAGCAGGTGACACGCGCATCCGCGGTCCAATCAGAAGACGCCACGTTGAGGCCTCGCATGCGAGGTGACGTGTTCGAAGGTGACTCATGCGAATTTGCCCGGTTTTCAACATTTTCTTGATTTTTGTGCCAAAAACTTGCGAAAATCATAACTTTCGCATACGAGCTCCGTTTTTGGCGTTCTTTATATGCACGCGTAGGTAAAATCATACTCTACGACTTTCGTTTAGACTTCGTCGGCTGATTTTGACTTTATTTTTAATATTATTATTTTTAACAGACCGGGACAGGAAATCCATTAAAAATTCATAACTTCTTCATCCGACGTCCGTTTTCGTCTGTCTTTTTACCGTTGTGCTACTTTTAACGAGACCTTCGATTCTCATTTAAGTTACGTCGGCTAAATATCGATCGATTTATATTTCGAATTTTTAGCTGTCTACTGCTAAACCGAAACTTCGAAAAATCATAACTTCCTCATACGAAGTCAGATTTTTACGTTCTTTTTATAAACGTTCTATGTTTAACATATTTTACAACTTTCATTTAGATTGTTAAGGCTAAAAAGCTTTTTATCGAAAATTCGTTTTTTACACTGAACAGTGTTTTGCCGGTTTTATCGCGGATTTTCGATTGGTCATAACTTCTTCGTTATAACTCGGATTTCAGTGTTCTTTATGTTTTTGGAAACCTTGTTACAAACTCTACCACTTGGTTCATCCCAATTACGATTATTGATCAATTTATTTTTGACCAAAATTTGACTGGTGTCACAACCAACCAGTTGACTAGATTGTAAAACTACTATAAAAAAAGAGCATTACCGACGACCAAACCGTCGGTAATCCGTCGGTAATGCTCTTTCCGACAGAATTGCAACACACCAAAATCGTCGGTATATTCTTGTCGCTAATTGTTTGTTGGAAATACGGATTTCCGACTGCTATTGGTAATTTTTAGTGACGGATTTCTCTATCGAAAATAGTAACGGATCACCAACAGAATATATTTTGCAACAGACGGAATTTGTTTGCAACGGATTACCGACGGAAAAATTTACTAATGGATTACCGACGGAATTTGAAATAACTTACTAACAGATTACTAACGGAATCTCGAAATGACTACAAATTTTTTTTGTGACAGATTAGCGACGGATTTTGGCATTTTAAAAAAATTTACAAATTAATGAAGAAATTAAAAACTAGAAATAATTACATATTCAACACACAAATTTTTTAAACATACATCAAATCTATATTTTAAAACCAACAAATATAAAAGTAAATCCATAAATTTCAATCATTTTACATACATTAAATCTATAAATTTCAATCCATATTGTCAAATATTGTCAACAACCAATAAAGAATTCCTTTTTGATTAGCTCGTGGATTCCACACCTATCATTGAGAGTTGTTAGCTAGAGAGATATTTACATATTGTCAAATACCATAAATGCCCTCAAAATGTTGACCATAAAGGGCTTACTTTATGTTTTTACTCATTATAGTTGCATACTTTCAAATAATCATAAAATAGAAACCATTTTCAGTTTTTTCACGATTATACAAAATACTTTATATTTTTACTCATAATAGCAACGTACTTTTGCCATAATTCCTAATTACAACTTGTATGAAAGTAGATTGCTACTTCATAATGTATGATGTCATAATCAAGAACTTTGGTCAAGTACGTTGCTATTTCTCACAATTAACCCTTAAAAATATCAAATTATTTCAATATTACCTTTTATCTTCCTGTGAATTGCTTCAAAAGATCATTCATTTTTCCAAGAAGATTGGCTTGTATTTCCTCCCGTTTCTTCACTTCCCGTTCCGGCATGCTCTCTAATTCATTTATCTAAAATATGTTCCAACAAACATATATAATTAGTATAAAATAGAGAAGGAAATAGCAACATACGTTACTATTTTTATCATAATATAGTGAACGCATCCACAATGAAAACATAATTTACATAATAACAAATTTACATCTTATACATATTAGCAATGAACTATACCTTTTTTTACCAAAATAGTCAGCGTACATACATTTATATAAGAACATACTATATATAAATCAATATAGACACATACCTTTTATCCATAATAGCAATATACTTCTGCAAGTTTTCTCATATCAATGGGGCATATGAGAATGCACACAAAAGTCAACATATTGACTTCCTAAAAAAAAAAAAGCAATACATCTTTACATTTTTTTTAAGTGTTGTGTAATGGTCAAACCACATTAGCATATCAAAATACCAATTGTGGTTTTTTTTTCTTTCTATATTTCAAGAATAAATTAAAAAGATACTTAAGGGGTCATCTATTTATAACTTATAAACTCCTAATTCCAGAATAAGGACTAATCTAAAAAAGGCAAATCCTTATCCCTCAAGATAGAACCTTTTAAACATATAAAACTGATCAATGAAACAATTCCAAATTAACTAATTATACATTGATGCATAAAATCAAACAGATTAGGCAAAGTGCTACTATTCATACGTGATACAACAATCTTGTTTTACCTCTAAACTATTATGGAACCACTATCATCAAAGATGATTTACGCAAGACAATAAGAACATAGTCAAGAAATACATGAAAAAGGATTAAACAACAGTTTGTAAATAACATCTAACCTTTTTGTGAAGCAGTTAGTTGCATTCCACTAGACAATAAGAACATGAATGAGTTGGCTGTAGCTAGGAGCTGACTTCTACTAGTTATCATTTCCTTGGGGCAAGAATTATAAAGATACATAAGCAAAAGCACACAAAAAAGTCAACATATTGACTTCCAGCAAAAAACAAACATCTTTCTTTACCTTTTTTTTTTTTAACTCATTATGTAGTCAAACCACATAAGTATGTCAAAACTAAAGGATAGAATAGATATTTCGACGCCTCTGAGAAGGAAGAGTCAATTGCCTCCTACACTTTACAACTAAAGAATCCACATGTCATATTGTGTCATTGTATTTCTAGACATTTTTTTATGATTATAAAAAATCTTAAGTCAAACTCATATTATAGAATGTGAAAAAGCTCTACAATAGCCATAATGTGTATAATAGCAAATGCATATTACATGTGACCAAATGCATATTTCTTTATATAACACTGATCAAATGAAAAATTCAAGGGCTGTATAACTCCCATAAGTGCATGCTAGCTTGTTTCTTTGTTAAATATATAAAATACCTATCAATAAAAGCAAAAAAAGAGGAATCTTGTGGACCCAAATCAAGACACTCAATTATTTGTGATGTGATGATCATGGACATATATGTAATTTTGGAATATTTCCCAAATAGAAAGTCACTTTTGTGAATTTTTAACTTTCTCTCCTCTACCCATTAAACTGTATTTTGACCCTATGATAATCCAAAAGATTGGCACTTTGAATCTTAAGCACATCTCCTGAAGTCTCGACTTCATGTTCTTGTTCATAGGCTTCTTCTTCAGTTTTAATGTCACAACTTGCTTCTTGTTCCAGTGCTTTTATCCCCACTTCTAGCCTTTATCCTCTTCAAACACGACTGATAATTAACTCAGAAGTGACAGGATTAAAGCTTTCCTAGAAGACAACTTATTCATGGACTTTTCGACCATTTTAGTTCGACTTCGGGTAGTCCAGAAACCATCTTTATGTACTTCAATATCCTTAACCCTTTGTAGTTTGGACTTTAGGTGAGCATACCTCCTGTACCAGAGCTCAGTCACATCACTAGTGACTAGTTGCAAACGTTGATCCCATCCCCTTCTTTAGTTGCTGATAATATAAACATTCTAGTATCTAGTTTAGTCATCCAAGTTTGATAGATAAGCCCCTTTCTTAGATGCTAGAAGTTGCACTTGAACAAGGATCTTGCAATTGGCACATACTCAGTAGGTTATTGCACAAAACCGGGTAATATTTTCTCCACAGTCTTCACATCTTGCATATCTTCACCAAAATTAATTACACATATCGTTGGCGATCATCATTACTCTTCCAAAATGGTGACTCTTCATTTGTCATTTCAAAGTAGCTCCCAGTTTCTCCTGAGAGACTGTAGTAGTGTTCGTTGGACCCCTTGAGTGCCCTTGATACTTGGTCTTCATTGAATCCCATATAGCTACTTTGATGTATCCTTGTGTGTAATTGTTTTAAGAATGGCCTTTTCAACGGAGCTGAGCATGTAGTTTTTTGCTTTGATCAGATCCTTGAATCTGGTTTCATCGATCGATGATTTTCTTTTGAGCTGCAGAAGGGCTTCTTCTTGACTGGCTCAATAAACCCATTCTGCACAACATTCCAGTAATCTTTGGACCTAAGAAGATTTTCCATGAGCAAACTCCAGTAATCATAATCACCATCGAATTTAAGAATACTTGGTTGTGAAAAATTACTGCTTTCAGCATCTTCCTTTGCAACCTATTCCTCCCCCCCCCCCCCCCCCCCCCCCCCTCTCTCTCTCTCTCTCTTTCTCGTTTTGTGCTCTGATACCAGGTGTTGAACTCTGAAATAAGAAGTCACACAGAAGTATTGAATACCTTCAATGGTTTATTCATGAATCAACGCCCGAATATATATATATATATATATATATATATATATATATATATATATATATATATATAGCCAGTACAGAGCTAATTGTGCGAAAGAAAAGCCACTACAGCTAAAGAGTAGGAACGGATGACAACAAGCTAAAGAACAGGAACATAAATCACTGATGGCTAAACTACAGGCATTATATTCTCTAACCATATCTCCAACACACAAACAGTCCAAGTTAGAACTATTAAAGTCACCTTCCAAGTACAGAATGAGAAATTTTGATCATCGTTTAACAAAGACTGAAAGTCTTCTGGGTGAAAATGGATGAATAGACTAGATCTTTGACTACTCCCATGTCACAAGAGATGAAAATGAATGAAGACACTAGAATGGTAAGTCTTGCCCTGATATTTTTCAACAGAAGTGCATTGTTTTCCCATATGAATCTTACAGTTGATCTGGGTTTTTGATGATTTCGGTTTCATGTATCTTGATAGATAACACAGCTGAATATTATCAGGTGACTGGCGGGAATTTTGTTCAGCAAGACCTATGTAAGTTCTATCCTTTCTTGGTTTTAATTGAAAGGTACATTTCTATGATGCCATCATAAACAAAAACCCAAAAGATCTTATGTGTGAAAATGAGGAGAAACAATTGAATCTTTATGCTAACAAGTCTAAATGCAAGAAATAGCAACATACTTTGATTTATTTGTGTATTATAGCCTCATACTTTCATTTCTTTTATCATGATTTTGTACTTTCAGTATACTTTTATTTATTTATTTATTTATTAAGACTTGCTTTGAAAAATCCTTTGAAATATAGCACTGTACTTTCACATTTATTTCTGCAATGTTTTGTGAAAAATCTAAGTGATTATATCAGTTAATTTTTTTTGTATTCGAGTATAAGTATAACTGTCAATGTACAATGCAGTAATAGGAAAAACTGGAAGTAGGATGCTATAATAAACAAATTAATGGAAGTAAGTTTCTATTTCTTGCATTTAACACGAGTGTAGAATTTCGGATCAATAATTTCTTACATCCTTTTTGCAGCTTGTCTGGTGAACTTTGAAAAGATACAATTCCGATCCAGATTACAAGCTCTTGCATGATCAAGGTATCAATTTTCTTTGTTAACGATTCAAGATGTTATATAAGTTTATCTGCAAAATTGATACTTCATAAGATACGGGCACATTGATTTGCAAATGAATTTGCTAGAACAGTTTACTTGTATGTTTAATGTCAAAACTTGAACGTAAGAGAGATGATATTTGCCATCAAGTGCCATGTGTAGTGTTGGTGTTGGTGTTTGTGAACACTGAACAGTTTACTTGTATGCTCAAACCTGAATGAAGAACTAGGTCAGGTCCGGATGATATTGTTTGACAAAACCGGGACATTGACATGTAACCAGATGGAGTTCAAGAAGTGCTCTATTGAGGGGACTTCATATGCCAATGGTGATTTATATAAGGTTGTTCGTGATGCTTATGAGCAAAAGGGTTCTTTTGAAGACGAATCCAGTGTGGAGATGATCTTTGAGATCTCTTCTGAGGCAAACAAGAGTGATGCAGATATAAAATCGTTCTTCAGAGTCATGGCTCTATGCCACACAGGCATAGCAGTCGAAACTGAAGGCAGCAACAAACTCCATTATGAAGCTGAGTCCCCAGAAGAAGTAACGTTTCTTTATGTTGCACAAGAGTTTGGTCACCATTGGCATATGAAGTCCCCTCAATAGAGCACTTCTTGAACTCCATCTGGTTACATGTCAATGTCCCGGTTTTGTCAAACAATATCATCTGGACCTGACCTAGTTCTTCATTCAGGTTTGAGGTTCGTGCTTCAACGAATTTCCCACTCCGTTCGTCAAACAACTCTAGGTCGTTGTTTATGAGCATTGTTTGCATGAACTTCACCACCTCAATGAAGACATATAAGAAAACCGGGATCAAGTAACCATAGAGTATGAGCGCCCTTAAGAATTGGAGGACAGTCGACTTCAATGGTCTATGTGGATCAAAAGACCCATCTCTACCTTCGAGCAATTAAAGGTACCAATGTCCTTTTGCTGTCTCTGTGGTGTATCGAGATGAACCAATGGAGGTGATCAAGGATATGATTATCAGCATCAAAAACAAAACATATATCACCTTGTCCAACCTTGTCTCTACCCTGCTCCGTTTAGAAGGCGATGTCATGGAGTTGCGGACCACTTTGGTGTCCGGTCCGGTGTATACCACAACACCATAAACATACTCTGTAAATCTTGGTCTCTTGCTGCAGATTCTCTACTCTCTGTACAAAACATTGTATTTTGCCTTACGTTATTCTACTTTGAAATCTACACCAAGTTCGGCGGGGTTGTCTTGTATGACGGATGGTATATGCTTATGTTCAATCTCCTTCTAACATCCTTTTCTGTCATATCGTTAGGCGTTTTGGGTCAAGACGTTTCCTCCCATAGTTGCCTTGAGGTATTTTTGCAAAACAACCAAATTAGTAATCTTTGTATCGTTAGAATTCTAACCCTGCTTCGTTCCTTGCTGCATGTACAGTTTCCAGGCATTTATCAACAGGGACAAAAGGGCATTTCATTTAGTTGGAGGCAAATCCTGGGCTGGATGGGAAACAGAATACTTACATCTCTTTTGATATTCACCCTAAGCGTCCAGATTCTCTCTGACTCGGCCTTCCGACATGGAGGAGAATTAGCAGACATCTCACACTTAGGAGTGTTCATGTACACCATGATTGTTTGGACAGTTAACTGTTAAATCGCTCTCATCACAATTCACTTCACCACTTGGATCCAACATATGTTAATCTGGGGAAGCGTGTTGTGTTGGTACATATTGTTACTCCTCTATGGTGCACTTCCGCCTATATACTCCCGCCAAAAATTTAAACTCCTTGTGGAAGCCGTGAGCCCTGCACCCATGTATTGGATCGCCACATTGTTAGTTGTGGTTGTTTCACTTCTTCCATACATCACTTACATGGTCATCCAGAGGTTATTTTATCCAACACATGACCAACTCATCGGGGAAATGAATTACATTACAAATGATGTTGTAAATATGGTCCATGAGGTTGAAGAATTATTGGAAATCATCCCAGAACAGGACCTATGACATCGTTCTTAGGCTTTGGGGTATACCGGCCATGCCAAGGGCGTAGTTGGTGTGTGAGTGTCAACTGTCGGATTGCAGCAATCTGATCATCATCACTTATTTCATATGTTAATCTGGGGAAGCTGTCTGTATCTTTTATCCAACGGTTGACCAACTCCTCGAGGAAATGAAGAACTCAAGGAATGTTGTTCAGTATAAGACGAGCAGTGTGCCTCACTTTGTAAATAATTTTAATCTTTAACCCGTCCAACATTACATATACATGTGTTGCAAATTTATGACTCATATATCTGAATTACAGACATGCTTACACTTGATGACTAGAAATGCTTTTCGGTTTTTTCTAGTTTTTCGTATCCTTCCCGGGTATCTACTAATTTTCATCTTGCTGGTTTAAGAGAGAGATACACAGTCACATACTCAAAAGGCCTTTTCAGCTGGGCATCATTCTCTCCTTTATTGTTCCATAGAATTCCAATGTTTCACCAAAATTTAAATGCCAGCACTCCCACAAAGTCAGATAAATATGTTAGTTTTCACCAAAAATTACATACCAACATTCATGTTTTGGAATGTGACGCACATTAATTAAGCATACAAGTAAACTGTTCAGTGTTCACAAACACCAACACCAACACTACACATGGCGCTAGATGGCAAATATCATCTCTCTTACGTTCAAGTTTTGACATTAAACATACAAGTAAACTGTTCTAGCAAATTCATTTGCAAATCAATGTGTCCGTATCTTATGAAGTATCAATTTTGCAGATAAACTTATATAACATCTTGAATCGTCAACAAAGAAAATTGATATCTTGATCATGCAAGAGCTTGTAATCTGGATCGGAATTGTATCTTTTCAAAGTTCACCAGACAAGCTGCAAAAAGGATGTAAGAAATTATTGATCCAAAATTCTACACTCGTGTGAAATGCAAGAAATAGAAACTTACTTCCATTGATTTGTTTATTATAGCATCCTACTTCCAGTTTTTCCTATTACTGCATTGTACATTGAAAAATCAACCCAAAAGAAGAAGCCTATGAACAAGAACATGAAGTCGAGACTTCAGGAGATGTGCCATCTCTCATTCCAGAACCAGAAGTTATTTAATCTACAACGCCAAAAGAAAAGCAGGTAACAATGTTGTTGAAGGGTCACAAAGGCCCACAAGAGTTAGAAGGCTTCCTCATTATCTACAAGCTTACAACTATTCATTAGAGGAGAAGAAAATACTCGAGAACACGAACTCATCAACAACTGTATGGTAGAAGTTGTTGAAGATCGAAACACATTCGAGGAAGCAGTGAAAGATGGAGTATGGAAGAAAACAATTAAAAGTGAGTGACTCAGTAGAAAATAACACTAGGAAACTCACTACTCACTGTCTATTGCAAGCTTTGCAAATTCCAAACCAAGGGTTCCGCTTCCAGGGGTATTAGAGTGTCAAACTCAAGGTGAAATTTTGGGCCGATAAGCCCGGTCAATACCAAGTCTTGACCTCCTAGTGAAATGCTGTGGCCCAAATCCCAATTTGTTCTGGACTGCTTTCGGTTGAACATTCTCTGTGTATTTAATTAGTTTGCTGGGATTTTGTCTTTATGAAGTAAGCACTATAGTAGTGGTATTGGTAGACAAGGTAGTGGAAACAGCAGGTTTTGTGATCTGTGTGCTGGCATTCCATTTTTTGTCTTTTATTAGTAGTATCTATAGCCCTGGTGGCTGCTGGAAAAAGGTATCCAGATATTTTGTAGTGAAGCTTTCCTCTAGAAATATTGGGAACCCTTATTATTATTTATATAAGTAAATTTGAGTCATGCATCCTTTGTCAATTTCAGTATTTTATTCCAGAATATCAATGGGCTTATCATGTTCACCAGGCTACGCCACAAGCTCGGAGTATGTAAAGATTAAACAGTTAGATAGCGGGGAGGCATTGTTGGAGATGTCGTTAGAGAATAAAATGCCTATAGTTTAGGCATCAGTGATTTATGTTCCTGTTCTTTAGCTTGTTGTTATCCGTTCCTACTCTTTAGCTGTAGTGGATTTTCTTTCGCACAATTAGCTTTGTACTAGCTATATATTCAGCCATTGATTCATTCATGAATAAATTAAGGTGTTCAATAATTATGTGTGTCTTCTTATTTCTGCTAATATGCTAATATGTAGGGAGACTAATATTATAAAAGTCCTAAATTTTTAACCTGTAATTGGAAAAAGCCCTAATATTTTTTTTATTATTGTTATAGCCACAACTTTCTCGCGGAATTATCACTATAGCCCATTTAACGAGTTTCATGGTTAACTTGGTTAAATTTTTTACAAAATCAGTGCCAAAAGTTCAAATTTGGTCCCTGAGGTTTGCAAAAAATTACACCACATAATGTTTTAACTTTATTTTTCATTTTTTGTATACTTTATTTATTTTTGGTTTTTTATAAATATATATACATTTTTTATTTTCGTTTTTGTATATACTTTATTTATTTTCATTTTTTAACTTTATTTTTCATCAATTTGATTTTTTTTTTACCTTTTTACCTTTTTTTTCTATTTTATAGTGTATATATAGAGTATATTAGAGTTTTTTTTTTAGTTTTTTTTTTCATATTTCTTTTCGTATTATATTTTAATTTTTTCATCTTTTTTTTTCTTATTTGTTTTCCAATTATTTGTTTTTTATTTTTTTGTATTTTTAACTTTTTATTGACCTTTTTCAAAAAATATAAAATGTATTAATATATTAGATTATATTACAATTTATATATTTTATAGTTTTTTTGTAATTTTTTTTATTTTTATTCAAGTAAATAAATTTGTTATGTTTATATTTGTAATTTCGGTCCAACTTATTTTCTTTTTACTTTTTTTTTCTTTAGTGCTATTATATTTATGTTACGAAAAAATGAAAATTAAAAAAAAATTAGCTTGTTTATTGAGAATTAGTGTTTCAATGTGTTATATAACTTGGAAATTAAATCATATTTTTATATGTGATATCAATAGTTTAAATTCAAGATAATATTTTTCAATTTGATAATAGACTAAAAGAAAAAAAATAATAATAATAATAAGCGGTCTCTATAAAAAACTTGTTATAGTAATTTATATTAAATTCGAGTTCGTTTACTTGAATCAAAATAAATAAAAACATTAGAAAAACCATAAATAACTAAGATAGAAAAAAATAGAAAACAAAAGGTATAAAAGGTAAAAAAATCAAATTGTTGAAAAATAAAGTTAAAAAATAAAAATAAATAAAGTATATAAAAAAGAAAATAAAAAATGTATATATATTTATAAAAAACCCGAAACTAAATAAAGTATACAAAAAATGAAAAATAAAGTTAAAAAATGAAAATTTTACTTTGGATTTTCGGGACGTTACATTACGCCGCGTCGTGACGATCTGTTTGTCGCGCTGCGACACCTGGAGATCAGCAAAGTGCATTGCTGATTCCATTCAAGCTTTGGGGACAACTTTTATCCCAACTTCTAACACACAAAACTTCTTCGTTTCCAACCCGCTTTCAATGATCTTTATATCCACATGAAGGTGGGAATATGGTATACAACTATGTTAATCCATTTCTCACTAAATTAATACGGGTCTTAATCTATTAATTCACAAAGTTGACCCCAAAAGCATAAAATTTCTCATTTTACCCCTTTTGACCAACATGCATATTCTCGTGCATTTCTTCTCTTGAACTTACTCATATAACCTCTTCTAAGTGACTTAAACTTATCATGGCCATTTTCATGAAGCCACAACTTCATAAATCTATATAATTATCATAAATGATCATTTTGCCCTTTTAGTAAACATCTAACTAAAAGTCAAATCTCTCTAAATTTCAGGTTCTTACTGTTGGGTTTAGTGTCTAAGCCCATAACTATAACTGGGATGTACTTGACCCGATTGTAGCATGGTCCTTTTGGGTTGCCTTCATCAGTGCAATTTGATAGGATCGACTTTTGATAATAAGGTTATTTATGATTTATTAATATATTATAAGTTCTAATATATTAATATGAAATCATATTATTTAATTAGTATTGATCAATGATTAATTTGGAATTAATTTAGTGATCAAAAGAGACTAATTAAATATATGGGGATTGATTATGTAAATCAATGATTCTTAGAGTGTGGGCCAATGATCCATGGTTATTTAGGATGGGCTAAACCAATGTGATAGTCCATAGATAGTCTATGGAGGTTTAACCCATGGAGACTAAGTAATATGAAAGGCCATTAGGGTTTGCAAGGTGTAACCCTAGCATTTGCCACACTATAAATGAAGTCCCTTAGAGCCAAAATCGGTTGCCCCATCATTCCAAGAGAGTGATACACGATTTTGAGCTTGCTAACCTATATTCTCAAGTCTTCTCTTGCATTTGGTGTTTGTGAACCATTAGAGGCATCACACTTGAGGTGCTCAAGATTTTGAAGGCCAATAACTACAAGTCCTACTAAGAGATAAGTTATCTAAAGTTGTATTGTTCAATTGTCAAATTGTATGCTAGTTAGGATGTATGCTTTGGAAAATCAAATTGCATGTATAATTAGAGAAAACATAGATCCAAAGCATCTAGGGTTGCATGTGCACCATAAGGTTGTTATAGTGCTAAAAAACCCAACAGTGGTATCAGAGCCTAGGATAGTTTTCTATTATATTGATGCTAATGTATTATTTTTCAAAGCTGAAAAACTGTTCTGACAGCCCTACTCGACGAGTACATGATTGGACTCGACGAGTAGGTTGGTTTTTTCCTTGGACTCGACGAGTCCAATGTTGGGCTCGACGAGTTGGTTGATCAGACAGCAGTTTTTCGGGGTTTTTTTGGCCTGGATTGGATTAGGATCATTACCACAAACTGTTTTGAATCATTAAATCTGTTTTTTATGATATGGTAGTGATTATACTCATCCAATCAAGAGATAATTGTCAAAGTTTTAAGATAATTATTGTTTTATATAATAAAACAAAGTTG